TCACAACCCTCAGTGTTGCCCCCATACCGGACCGGGGACCGGCAACGGGATTGCAACCCTCAGTGTTGCCCCCGCGCCTCGCTCAGCCAGTGAGCGGGAACCGGTCTGTATGTGGGATCCGAACCCTCGGGCGGGAGCACCGCCGTGCTTCCCAAGTGGCGCACTATCCAGTGCACCACCGGGCCGGCCCCCTTTCAATCCTTTAACATGTTTATCCTAGTAATTTTAAAGTTTTTATCTGCTGATTTCAGTATCTAGATTTCTGTGGATCTGCTTCTACTGACTGGTTTTACTTTTGAGTACGGGGTCACATTCCCCCGTTTCTTTCACATATCTAGTTTTGGTTCTTTTTGGGGGGGAGGGAGGGTTATTTTTTTACTGTGTGGTGACTTTGTAAATGATAGAAACTCTGAATTCTGTCATCTTCCTCCAAAGAATGTTGTATTGATTGCATTGACCTTGTAGAGGTCTATTTTGTTTTGTTTTGTTTATTCAAATATTTATTTCACATTTGCCTTAGTGCTAAGGGCAAAACTCAGTCCTATCAGCATGGTCTTTATACCTATGGGGTTGCCTCTCTGGTGTTTCGGTAGAAAGTCTGGAGTGTTTATCAAATTCCTCTAAGCTGGTAGGACTCTAACTCCTAACTCAGTCTCCATGGCAAGGAAAAAAAAAAAGGCTGAAATTTCTGTTCACCTTTTCAGTCTTCCAGCTGTTGTTTTCCCCTGAGCTCTTTAATATCTTGCCTTGCACATGCATATTTCAATGGTCAGCCAAGGATTTGGTGGGAGTATACACACAGATTTTAAGGCTCCCACCTCAGAGGATTCCTTCTATTGGGGACTGTACTCCTCTGGCATCCCCAAAAACCCCCCTGATGCCTCAGGCTAATATGACTATGATTTCCTTACTGAGGTCTAACTGTCTCAATATCCTGCAGATGGGGAATGCCTATAAAGGAAAAGCCAAACAAATATGGATTTCACCCTTCTCACAAGAGTCTAATTTCCTTGAGTTTCTGCCTACATTTGGTCACTGTCCAATGCCTTCAAAATATTGTTTTTTGTGTGTTTTTTCCAGAGTTTATAACTGTTACTAACGGAAAGTTTAGTTCAATATAAGCTCTTTGTCACTACCAGAAGATGCAAATCTATATTCTGAAGGTTTTCTGTAAGTATCTCTTGAATTTCTTTCCCTTTGTCTTCACTGTCACTATTCTCCTGAAGGTCACCTTTACCTCTTAGGAGGATTACTATACAACACCTCTATATTTGCTCTGCTAACATGGAGTGATCATTCAGAAATGGAAGCCTAATCATGTCCCCCCTCTGCTTGAAACCATTTAATTCCAGTTGGTATCTGTTAAGATTAAAAACATCTTTACTTGGCTTAAAAGGTCCACAATCACTTATCATACCTCTGCCATTTACCCCTTTGATTGTTATACTCCAGCAAAAGTAAATTCCTTTGTATTCTGTGAAATATGACATGTACTTCTGATCTCTGAAATTTCATACAATGTTTCCTCTGTCTGGAACACTGCTTCTAATCCTCGCCATTTAGCAAATGCCTAATCAACTTTTAGGTCTTTCAGGTATTTCTGTAGTACTGTACTTCCTCAGCCATTTCACATATAAATTCTATTGTTACTTTTGTTTAATTTGTCTAATAAGCTGCAAGCTCTGGGAAGGCATGGACAATGTCTCTTCCCTGTTCACCATTATACAGTGACTTGCATAGTGCATGGCATATAATTAAAGCACAAAAAATGCTCAATAAATTAATGAATATAACCTACTTCAGAAATAACCTTACTCTCTTCATCAATAATTCAATAACATAAGTAGAAGGGCCAATAGCTGAGTAACCCTGTTTACTAATTCTCCCCAAATCATAACACATGAAAATACTACCAATACATTTTGTATATCATTTCAAATTCTATTAAGAATTTTGCGTATTTGATATATCTTAATAATAAGACAATTATTAATATTTACCTTCTAAGGTATCCCATTATGATAAAAAAATATTTTTGTATCTAGTTTCAGAACTTCCCTTGTCCCAATAAAATGTATCATCTTTTAAAATATGTAGTTATTATTTAAAGTATATAAAACTAAAAGACTATCTTTATTATATAGCAGGCTTTTGTTTGACCGTAACTATTTTAATACAAAAAAGTCTTTTTAATAAAATGATAAAGTTTTTTAAAATTTCTACAGTTCCCTTATGATTCACTAGGTGGATTTTTCTCTAATTCATTTCATGTTCCTTGTGTTGTGGTTAGGATCTGACTAATTCTCAATTCCAGTTACACAATTTACTAGATTTGTAATCTTAGATACTTTTCTTCATCTGTAAAATAGAAATAATTTTATAGTTTATCACATAGGACTATTGTGAATGTGTGTGTGTGTGTGTGTGTATATATATATATATATATATAGTAATTTATGTAAATCATGTCAGTTTCTAGTACATGAGCATTTTCACAATGTTACCTTAAATAGTATAAATTCTTTAGAGTTTGTTAAATACAGAAACCTTATATTTCAATAATTCAACAATAAATTAAGGGTACGATAACTTGAAATTCTGGCCCATGAACATGGAAAAGATCAGATAGGAGACTAACAGGTCAAGTACAAAACTTTTGATATCAACGCACTGCCATATAGAAAGCATCATTTTTATTAAAATTGTTAAAACTTTGTGGCAAGTAGGGAAAAAATGTTGTGATTTTAATGCTGAAAAACTGAGTGGTTATAAAAGATTACAAGACTTGTCCAAGTTAAATCAGTTAGTAAGTGGAGGGGACTGATTCACACCTAGATGCATGATTCTGCAGGCCCCTTTCTTAACTTCTGCGATAGGAGCATGAATCAGGAAAAAAGTCTTTGAGCAGGAGCCACAGGAAGACTATCTACAGAGAGCTATGTGATACTCATACAGACATGTACTATAAAACATGTTTTATATCAAAATATTTAGGTTCTATTCAAACATTCTAGAAAAAAAATAATATGATAGTACATAAAAGGAAGCCTTTAATTTTTTGTGGTTTTATATTTAAATCTCCATTACTTTAACCAAAGAAAATATATATTTTGCAGAGTGGAAGGGAAGTATTGGAATGGGCTACATAAGCTATCTGTAATTTATGTCCAATATGGCAATTTCTACCATTTAAGCTACATAAAATATGTCAAATTATTAATAAAATTTGGTATAAATTCAAATTATACCAGTAAAATCATATTTCCTGAGTGGGGACAGTTAATATACAGGGCTTCTCAGTTGTTGGCCTTTGAGTTTTAAGATATGGTGTAGTATAACTGTAAAGAACACCACAAAACGTACAAGACAGGTCTTAAAGAGCTTAATTTATTTATTCCGTAAGTACTTATTAAGCACATACTTGGTGCCAGTGTGAGCCGGGCCCATTCCAGTGAAGAGTATAGTGGACATGGATTATCTGGTTGTGGCTCTGGCACTTTGGTACTAACCCCAGGAAGCAAGAGAACTCTGCAAACCCTTTTTAACAGCTGGGTGCCAAGTATTCCATGGATATTGGGGAATTGACAACCACTCGGATTCTACAACATTAACACACAGGATTCTAATTCTTTTGCAGGAATCTACAGCCACTAAGTTCACTTCTACTTGAATACATAATGTTTGGAGAGGCTTTGAAAACAATTCAAGCATTAATTTTTCTGTGTCCATTACCTTAGAAGGAAGACATCACAGTCTTTTTAAAGTAAAAAACTCCTCCTTAGTATTGATATATATGCAAGCCTGGTAAAGGTTAGATCATTTCTCTTGGTTTTCTTTTTTTTTTTTTTTCCTTTTTGTCTTTTTTTGTGACCGGCAACGGATCGCAACCCTCAGTGTCACGCCCGTACCGGACTGGGACTGGCAACGGGATCGCAACCCTTGGTGTCACGCCCGTACCTCGCTCAGCCAGTGAGTGGCCGGCCGGTCTGTATGTGGGATCCAAAGCCTCGGCGGGAGTGCCGCCACGCTCCCAAGCGGCGCACTGTAGCAGTGCGCCACCGGGCCGGCCCCTCTCTTGGTTTTCAATTCACAGAAGAGAGTGATGATTGTTTTCCTAAATAGTATGCATGTATTAAACGTTTACAAACTTTGTAGTCAATATATATAAAATATTTCTGCTCTTTTATGGAGGTAATAGTGAGTTAATCCATTGCTAACGCTTCCCATAATGTGGCTCACAATGCGCATTTCCCTATTACTAATTCTAATCTTTCAATTTAAGGCTTTAAGTAGTTAGTTGTTAAACCTGTTCTTTACGGTGGGTATTCTTATGTAACACTCAATCTGAAAGTGTTATAGTAGAGAGAGTACAGATGGGTCATCTAACCAATTCCATTGGCTACACAAAGATCCTCTCTGCTACATCTTAGTCTGTGACCACCCAGCATCTCCTTGAATATCTGAAGAGATGAGTATTTTTAATCTTTAAAAAGTTTTTCTTTAGAAGGTATTTTAATATCTTGATATATTAATTTTTATTTCTGCCATGTGAATCCCCCAAAACAAATCCATAATCTCTTTCACGTGAAAAAATCCTGTCCAACTTCTCTATCCAGGCAAGACATCCTAGCTGCTCTCCCTTGAGTCACTCTTGTCCTTTAAAGAACAACCACATGCTCAAGACTTTGCACAGAGATTTTTGTAGCTATAATTTTTGTACTGTCAGTCTTTTATTAATGAAATTCTAGCCATTTGAGCTAATATTAACACAAGAAAGTAGCTTCTACTGCATAAATTCAGCCAGAATTATAGTTTGTTAGACAATATTTGGTGGTTGTGGAGGTTACACAACCAGATCATCAACCAGAAAGAATAATTATTCCTACCTGATGCTGCTTGGTTTCAAAATTTCCCTGCTTATATTCAGATTCAACTAACATATCAAGCACCTATCTGGTTCCAATTACTATTTAAGGTGCTTTCATATACCTTTAAATTAGCTGAAGAACCTAATTATCCGAGGAACACTGAGGATGTGTGGCAGGAAGAAGTCTGATCTACTCAAAGCTACTCGCAAAGGGTGTCTTAAGATGATGGCTTTGATGCAGCTGAAACCATCATTTATGAAGTCAGACACCATGATAAGTGTTTTTATATATTTCATTTTATTTCATTCTCTGTTCCAGAGAATTCTCTTTACAGATGAAATAATGAAGGCTCAGAGAGTCTGACTTATTTACAACTAATAAAGAAGAGTATCTAAAAATCTAAATACTCATCTACATATCACATCTATAACTCTCACTACCTCATGTAGCTTCGAGGGATCCATGCTTGACTTTGTTATCCCTACTGCCTTATGGTAGCTAGACTTTCAGAAACAATATTGCTGTGGCTTTATGCAACCTGGTAGCTTATCAGGACTGCCTGTGGACCAACACAAAAGAAAGCCAAAGATCAAGAAAGCAAAACGTGTCCATTTGAATCCAGTTCAATATGATAAAGTCATACCAACGTTGGAAATGTATAGCTTCTTTGTGTTGGATTTTTCTGTCAAAGTACTATCCTGGAAAAGTAATACCAAAACCTTTCACAAACCTAGAGCTGACAGCTTCACCTTGAAAATGAACCACAAATTCAAGTACAGCTAACAACTAGATGGTTTTCAATGAGAACATTTTTTCTCTTCCTCACCTACCTAGATTCTCTTAAAAAAGAATCTGTAATGGGGAGATTACCCTTGAAAGATAAAGCAAAGTTTCCCCTTAAGAAGATAAATTCATGGCTAAGAGAAAAATATTCCATCAATTCAGCTAATAATTGCTCATTATCTGCAATGTGCACAGCATAGCATTAAATAGTGTAGAGTCAACTGACTTAACACTAAATATTTTAAAGACTTTGGAAAAGCTTACACACCAAAGGCATGAAAACAACTGTCACATGGTTTGCATACATATTTGCACACATGTAAGGATCAGGCTTAATTACTGAAAATTGCAACTATTTTAAAATTATAACTGAAAAAGAATGCTTTCCATATGTTAAGTCTGGGGTCAACAATGTCTTGCACTGCCATACTAAGTAATAGTTTTTGATCCATTAGTCTAAAATTATATATCAACCACAGCACCAGAAAGTATCCTGCAGTTGCTTAGTGAACTCCACTATGACAACATTGAATTTTTCATACAAATCAGACTTTCTCTCTCCAGATTAGAATCCTCTTATCTTTTAACTTATTTCATAAAGCAATTCCTTCCCAGTTTCTTAGGAACTAGTCAAATGCATATTCTTTGAACAATAAATATGTATTGATCACCTATGATATGGCAGTCATTATGCTAGGCATTGGACACCTAACAACTGAAAATGCGTCATCCTTGCCCTAAAGGAGCTTACAATTCAATAAGGGACAAAATGTTTTAGAAAATAATTTTTTCCAATATTTGATTTTGAAAATGCTTAAGCCTTCAAATTAGTAGGGATAATACACTGAACAACAAATCACATTTAATCTAAATGAACCAATTGTTAGCATTCTGCCTCTTTTTTAATCTTTTTCTGTGGTGAAATAAACTTTGTTGGTCAATACTAGATTTTAAAAAGAATAAATTAGAATAGAATGGAAGAGGATAGAAAAGATTAGAATATAACAGAACTTACCTGAAAATGAAATAGAATAGAAAATTTCAGCATGTTCTTCACGTAGCAAGGTAAGAATTGTTTTATAAACCCTCATCTCAATTGTGTGTCTGCATGTGGGCACGCACTGAGTTATGACATGTAATATAATGTTTTTGTTTTTGTTTTTTACTGTGGCTTCCATTTTAAAACTTTGAAAGCCACTTTAGAGGATCATTATAGCATTACTGAGGAAGATGGATTGAAGAGGAAAAATGCTGGTGAGAGGGAATCTAGTTAAGAGGATATTATAACAGTCCAGGAGGGAATGAAGAACTAAACTAAGAAACTGGCAATAGATATGAAAGAGATTGATTCCAGGAACACACAAGAAGGGTAATGTTAACCATTTGATATGCAAGGGAGGGCACAAGGAAAGAACAGGGTGAGTCTCCAATTTCTTGCTTGGATACTGAGTGATGGATGGCCATCAGCTGAGGGATTAAATAAAGGTGTGAAGCAGATTTGGTGGGAAAAATAATAAGTTCAGTTTTGAATAGGATGGGTTTGAAGTAGCCATCAGACGTTTAAATGGATTATGCAGTTGGATAAAACATTCTGGGAACTGGGAAATGGTGTTAGCTAAAATTATAGTGTATGGAGTCAGAAGTAGATTATATTATTCAGAGCAAGTTAAGACTAAGAAGATAAAAGGTCAAGTACAATAAGCTGAGGAAAAAGAATCAGCAAATAAGACTTAAGGTTGCTATCAGAAGAAAAAGAACAGGGAAAAGTGGTTTTAAGGAGCCAAGAAGGAGAAATATAGGTTTCTACATGAGAATAGTCACCACTATTAAGTCGAAAAATGTGAAATGACACAAGGACAGAAAAGCGTTTATGGTTTTTCACAATTAAGTGTTAACTGGCAACTTTTGTTAGAGCAATTTCAGATAACTAGAAGAAATTGAAATACAGGTTTCAGGTAAAGAAGTAGATAGTATGTTACACACACACACACACATACACACCTGTCATCACTAGCCCTAGGGAAATCTGTTCTGATTCCATATTGTTCAAGATGAAAACCAATATACAATAGCACACCAAGTGTAATAAATTAGGTTTCTAATTCATGTAGTTTTCTTTAAATTACTGAGATAAGGTTAAATCTTAACTTATAGGTAAATAAAGCTTAATGTCTCTGAGTTTGAGCTGAGTTTTCTAACCTTCTGCTAAAATGATGGTACAAAGAGCTAGTTAAGAGTGTATGTTTTGAAACCAAATTACTGGTGTTAAATACATTCTCTGCCAGAGTGCTAGTTATAATACCTTAAACCAATTACTAACATTCTCTAATTCTCATTCTCTTTATCTGTAAGATGGGATGGTGTTGATAATAGTACTTTGCTCTTGTTTGTTTGGCGTGGTTGTTTTGAGGATTAAATGGTATAATATAAAGCACTTAAGTTTGTGCTTCAACACTTACCGTCCTTAGGAAATGTTAGCTATTATTATTTTCCTGACTTCTCTTGAGAACTGATTCCTAGAAAAGATAAAAGAAAGAAAGAGAAGGGACTTTGATGCACTACTGTAATTTGGACTGTATAATCTCTGTGCAGGATCAATATACAAAAAAAAAAAAAAAAAGTAGTGCTTCTATACATCAACAACGAACTGGAAAAAAAATCAAGAAAGCAATCCCATTTACAATAGCCACCAAAAAATAAAATATTTAAGAATAGATTAACCAAGGAGATAAAAGATTTCTGCAAGGAAAACTACAAAACACTAATAAAAGATATTGAAGAGGACACACAAAAAAATGGAAAGACATTCTATGCTCATGGATTGGTAGAATTAATGTTACGAAAATGATCATACTACCCAAAGTGATCTACAAATTCAACACAATCCCTATCAAAACACCAATGACATTCTTCACAGAAATAGAATAACAGGGCCAACCCGGTGGTACACTGGAGAGTGCGCCGCTTGGGAGCGCGGCGGCGCTCCCGCCGAGGGTTCGGATCCCATGTGGAGACCGGTTCCCACTCACTGGCTGAGCGAGGGGCAGGCACAACACTGAGGGTTGCGATCCTGTTACCGGTCAGTAAAAAAGACAAAAAGGAAAAAAAAAAAAAAGAAATAGAGCAGCAATCCAAACATTCATATGGAACAACAAAAGATCTCGAATAGTCAAGCAATCCTGAGCAAAAAGAATAAAGCAGGAGGCATTACACTATTTGACTTCAAAATATTACTTCAAAGCTATAGTAACCCAAACAGCATGGCACTGGTATAAAAACAGACACATGGATCAATGGAATAGATTAGTGAACTCAAAAATAAGTCCAAATATTTACATGCAACTGCTCTGACAAAGGCACCAAAAATGTACATTGGGGAAAGGACTGCCTCTTCAATAAATGGTGCTGGAAAACTGGACATCCACATGTAAAAGAATGAAGCTAGACCACTATCTCTCACCATATGCAAAATCAACTCAAAATGGACTAAAGACTTAAATGTAAGACCTGAAACTATAAAACTTCTAGAAGAAAGCACACAGGAAATGTTCCAAGATGTAGGCCTAGGCAAAGATTTTATGAATAAGACCCAAGATAGAAATTGAACTCAAATATGCAATACTCTTGAGAGCTCTCAAGTGATAAAAAGCTCAAGTTTTATGACTCTTCACTACAGTGTATACAATATTCATGCATATTTAAGGTGATTCTTGAATTTTTTTTGAGGGCTCTAGTCTTTAGTTCAACACTTGATGATTATACCCTTAGTGCTGTGAGTGCATATTAATTGAACAACAGAGTATAGTATTCCGTAAGGTAACCAAGATGCTTTGATGCTCCAAGATATGGTTCATTGACCTATGAAACTCTAACCCTGACACTAAAAGCAAAGAGCTGAAAGCAGAATCATGCAAAAGATTTTAATCCCATCTTTAACATTTTTTTTTTCCATTTTGTCTTTTTTCGTGCCCGGCAACGGATCGCAACCCTCAGTGTCACGCCCGTACCGGACCGGGACCGGCTACGGGATCGCAACCCTCGGTGTTGCTCCCGCACCTCGCTCAGCCAGTGAGCGGCCGGTCTGTATGTGGGATCCGAACCCTCGGCGGGAGCGCCGCCGCACTTCTCAAGCGGTGCACTGTAGCAGTGTGCCACCGGGCCGGCCCCCATCTTTAACATTTTTAGATTCTTTATTTTCTCAAAATCCCAACACTACCAAACATGCTTTCCAATAGATTATAATCAATACCAATAGAATACTTTAAGATATTTTTTAATTATGGAAGTTAAAGAAAAAAATTTTAAAAAGAGCATGAAGCAACATTATGTGAAGTGGTAAGCTTCAAATGCACAAGCCAAACAAAATTTGAATAGAAAACCACAAAGGCATACATTTGGTAGTCAACCAGCCAAAGTTTCCATGAAACTGTAAATGTCAGTTATTCCCCAATTTCAACACACTGTGATAGTCATGATCCAACTAAGTAATAACTGATCCCAGGGAGAGGCCTTCAAGCCACAGACTTCTTCATTCCATTACCTTCTGAGTATATAAAATAGCCAATCACCTACCATTTCTCACAACATCACAGAGAAGGAGCTGAGTGGAAAGATTGAGGTAAGAAAGGTCTTAAATATCATTGTAAACTAAGATTTTTATCTCTTATAGATGCATATTATATATATATATATATATATATATATACATTTCTACAAAGGGTCAAAATTAAAATTATTGAGACTATCATGTAAGAGTTGCTTGAATTTGCAAACTTAGTAAGTAATTAAACAACCATTTTGAGTATTTCTGTTTGCAAAACTTTTTCTTAAAATCACCATACTGCCATAGGAAGTGCATATTTTATAGTGAACATAAATGAATCTTTGTAGGGTTGGGGTGCTAATGGCTGGGAGGGCATAAGCTCAGGTTCATCATTTTGAATTTTATGAGCCTCAATTCAGCAAAAAGAGGGAATATTTATTGCCAGTGATTCTCTGAAGTATGAACAAGTGACAATTTACTTGGGGCCTCCTGTTTTATCTTTAAAATATATTTGTATTCCCTTCTATAATGTATCATGTTCATTTTAATATAAAAATTACTTGGTTTTTTTTAATTCCTTGAATGAAATTGATGCTCTAGGAAGTTGCATCTAATTTATTCAGAACATCATTTAGTCTTTAGCACACAGCAATATACTGCTATGGCTATTACAGCTTGAGAAGTAGAAAAATGAAAGAAAGTAGTTGCTAATTATGCTATGTCCTGACGATGAAGCATGATTTGAAAGAGTCTGCCATATGGTTTACTTACTTCTTTGCTTAATGTGCTTTTGAATAATCCTGGAAACCAGTTGAAAATCACTGTATTGTAAAAGCTTCACTTGAAATCTATCATCCCCAAATTATTTCCTTGATCTGTCTCTTTCTTCTTCTATATGTTGTCAATGTTCCATAATTTCTAAATACATATCACACTTTACATTATAAAAATATCTTTATCTGTCTTTCCTTAAGCAGCTTCTGTATGGAAGAAATCATACTTTATCATTGCATTCCTGACAGTGCCTAGCACAATGCTTCACACATAGAAAGCAGGCTCTGCGTGTGTATGTGTGTGTCTGTGAGAAGTGTGTGTGTGTGTGTGTGTGTGTGTGTGTGTTTATAATTTTTACTCAATTTCCTACTGCCAATCTGCCTAAAGAATTCTGAACTTGATTGGAATTTTAAGTTCCTGTCATTAAAATCACTACATCATTGGGTATTCTTTAATCCTACTTTGAATTTTGATCAATGTGATCAAAAATAAAGACAGACTTCTAAACTATGCTACATTGCTCTTTTACGTTTCATTCTTCTGTCTCATAGATATGTAGGAAACATTAGAAGGTTATGAAATCTCCTTAGAATCTTCATTAATCATCTCAAAGTGATCTCAGAATGATAATGATTTGAGAAACCGATATTTTCCTCAATGTAAAAAGTCAAATTAAATAATCTTCAACAAACTTTTAATGTATTGACCTGTACAGTGTGCTAATTAAAGGTCTATAAAATAGGGACTTTCTCAACTGTTATATACCCAAAGCCTAAAATAAAATCTGACAAGTCAGCAGTTATCAAGACTACTTTATGAATGAATAAATAATTGAAATACGAGGCCAACTCAAGAAAAGTCCCTTAACCAATCTCCCTTTCCAACTTCATTGCCTTTCTCAAATCCCCCTCTGTGCTCTCTAATATCTACCACATCTACACTATGACAAAGAGGATTAATGACTAATGATGACATCTTATAAAGAAAAATTCCCATTAATGTACAAAATCAAGTAATATACACATGCTTATTATATTAGTGAGAAAATGTTTTAAAAGAAAATGCAAAATTTTCTATGTTTTATTGTATTCTCCATTATATAATATAATCATTGATTAAAGATTTAATTTAGCTTAGTTTTCTAAATATTTATTATCAATATTGTAACTGATACATTATAACAGTGTGTATGATAACATAAGGAATCTATAATGGAAATTAAAATAGAATAGAATGCTTTGGAAATATCTTTCCCAAATGTCAACAATAGATTCTTCTGAACAGCATGGATTATTATGGGTTGCCTGGAACCAATGCAAATTATTCTGTCACATAAATTAATTTTGTGGATATTTTTACATGGAATGTTGTTTTGAACTTTCTGAGATCTCTAAATAACTGCTTACCCCCACACCAACATTCTCTCTATAAACTGTGGTATTATTTTATTTCAGAAACTTTACTTTTATTACTGAGTACAGAGAAGTGTTATTCTTAAATAACATGTGAATGTTTAATTTAAAAGAACTGATGTAATATAGCTATAAAATTGCAAAACACCTTTGATTTTACATTAAAAAAAAGTCTTCATTAACAAATAGATTAATGCCCTAAGATTATAAGTGACTTGCCCAAGGTCAAACAGCTATTATTTACATAATCTGTACTAGCTGAATCTTCTGAATTTAATATTTGGTTTTTCTGCTGACTTCTAGAATATTTCTGAATAAGATGAAAGTTCTTCTTCTGATTACAGCCATCTTGGCAATAACTGTTGGTTTCCCGGTAAGTACTCACTTCTACATTCCAAAATATTTATGCATTTTTTGTTCTAACTCATGAATCTTAAGGAATTTTGTCCCTCCACACACTGTACTCTACTTTATAAGTACAGGTAACACTTGCCTCTTTAACATTCTATTCCAGAAAATATTATAAACCGTAGTCACATTTAAATATTATGAATCATAATGCACTGTTCAGTGCATAATTCAGTCCCATATAGCCCTGATGCAGTGGTGGATTTGAGCCATTTAAGAATACATATAAACACTTTTTGGGAAAATAGTTTCTATAATATTTCTTAGACAATCAAATCCAAAACTTTTAAAAAGTGGACACTATGAAACAATATTAGGTAGTAGAGTCAAATTATTTCCCTCATGAATACATATATATTTCTTTGTGTATTTTTATCACCCCGAGCTAAATTAACTTCACTGTTTGAGCTGCAGGTCTCTGAAGACCAGGAACGAGAAAAACGAAGTGTGAGTAACTTTTTCTCTTCTTTACATATAAACTTTCCACATGATATATTCATAACTGTGGTTAAAGACATTCATTTATCCAGACATACCACACTCTAGAGAGATTACTAATGAGTTTTGGGTATTAGTACTTCACAGAGGTTCAGACTTTGAGGATTTGAGCTCTGCTTGTGTAAAGGGAATCATCTGGGCATCTCAAGTAACACTGGGACCAAGACTGAAATTTGGATCACTCTGAAATGAATTGAGTTACAATATTTTTTACTAGAATTCTCTCACCTTATGAGGGCTAATAACTGCTCATGCCTCCAGACTGCATAGCTCGACAAAGCCCATTCAGAAGAAGGTAAAAAAAAAATAATTAAAACTTGAGAATTAGGAGATATGGGCCAGCTTTGATGATCTTACCAGTGGCAAATTCACTAAAGGAATATTTTGATCTAAACAGTTAACAAAAATGTTTAAGGGGAAAGAAAATAAATTTGAAGAGAGAAAGTCTTGTTTCGAGATTTATGTTTGTGGAAATTCTGTTACCTAAAAAGCATGGTTTTGAGGAAAAACTATAAATAGAATATTAAGAATGCAGAAATTGGTAGTGATATAGACAGATGACGGGGAGGGAAAGAGGAAAGAAAGAAACAATATGAAGAAGGAAAGTGTTTCTAACACATGGTTTGAGTAAAGACCTTATGTGAGAGCAAAGGGGGAAATTTTATGATACTTCACACCTCCCCTCTTAGGCTTATAGTTATAGAAATAGTTATCCAAAAAAAATTGGCTTTGAATACAAAGATATAGGAACATGTTTATCTCTAAAATAATTTTCTAAAAAGTAATCAAATTTCTCTTCATAGTATACACAGAAACGAAAAAATGATTTTAGAGTTTCTAAAGTCTCTTCTTAAAAATGAAGACCAACATATTACAAAAAAAAGCTGCTTTATTTCTCTTTTTTGTAAAGCGTAAAACAAGACTTTTTAATTTCTTTCTTTCAACAGGTCAGTGAAAGCGATGAATCGTCTGCAGAGATTTATGTGCCCCCCTACCGATATCCATTTGGCCGATATCCACCACCATTCCGAAGATATCCATGGATTAGAATTTTTTTTCCTGATTTAATACCTTTGTCTGACTCTGCAGCTACCCCTCCTAGTGGAAAGTAAATATGAAAGAAAAGTCACAGTATAATTAAAGATTAAATAAGTGGTAAGTATACACAGTACAAACTTTATTTTTAAGTTTGTTATCTGTGGACATTCATCACATGTGGAAATGCATCATTTCATGAAAAAAAAGTTACAATGTTCCCAGTTAGTCCCATTAAGTTCCAGTTTGTTTCAGTGTTTTCTCTGGTAGAAATTGTTGGGGTCTCCACTCAGAGGTACATTCAAGGGTACTTCAAAAAACTCATAGAAAAATTAAAAGATAATACAAATCTTTCCATGAACTTTTAGAAGATCCCTCGTACATGATCCAACCAGCATAGTAGTTTAAATCCCTCATTTGTTGTGATGTAATAGAAACAAGCCCTTTCTTATCAAAATATTTTTTAAAGTAATTTCTAACATTTTCTACTATTATCGAAACTGCAAATTTTGGACTGAATCATAGGGCTAAATATGAGTAAGGCAAAGGTTTAACAAAAGTAGAGGTCATATTAGATGAACTTGTGAACCTAGGGTCTAAATTAGACATCAGCCTATTCCTTAGGAAATCATGTAATTTTTCCAATACTAAAACCCCAAACCTAGCTTCTGGGTGTCACATTATAATAAAATCTGAAAGGCTGAGTGTTCCACCTATCACAGAGGACCCTATCATCTCATCATATCAAAAATAAAGTGAATGGTCTGTCAATTACTGGATGAATTGAGGAAGTGTAGACTATACTGAAGATTAAATTAGGACCCAGAGGACTGTTCTAGGAAACAAAAAACTGTTAGCTAATACCTACTACTAAAGGCCTCTGCCTTCTTTATTGCACCTACTCAGTCTTTGTGACCAGAAAGTTTCTTAGTCCTTGAACTAGATACACTTTTAAGCCACTATTAATAATTAAATGCAAGAAACTTAAAAATTCCCAAGAAAATGACCCATTGGGATTAATAATCATATGCTTGTCATTTATTTCAGGTCACTGTAAAATTGATGTGAGCCACTTCCTTGAAGAATCAATATTCCTGTTAATAAAAGAAAAATAAATGTAATTGAAGTAGCATATATTATTCTCTAGTCAATATCTTTGGTGGTCTTCTTCAGTAAACATAAAAGGGAAGATCTTGGTTTCCTAATTTCTAAATGTGCATTACCAATAGGGAAGAAAAATAAAATTTAATAGATTTTAATGTACACTTGATCACTACACATCCTAGGGAGAGCATGGGGAGTGGAGGTGGCCAAAATCATCCAGCTCTTGAATTATCATGAATGAAAGTCTGTTCAGCAGCTTGTATTGTATAGTTGCATACGTTGTATTGACATGAGCCTGAGGTTTATTCAGTTCAAAAGATATTTGAATAATTAAGTCTGTACTCTATATACAGTAAAGTATTAAGCTTGTTGTGTTGGTAACATATACCAAAAACAAACAAGTACTATCTGTAACTTCAAGAAACTGATAATGGGTGAGATTTTTAAAACAGAAATTATATATATCATGCTTGAAGGCTACGAAGGACTTCTCAAATCATTATATCACCAAATCTTCACATAATTTCTGTAAAGTAATTGCATTTCACACACGAGGAAATTGAAGATCATGAAAGTCCTATGAACCTACTCAGTCATAGACCTAGTACATGGCAGAGCAGAAATGCAAAACCAGGCCTATCCAACTCCTATGCCTTTGTGTCAGCAGTATATCTACTAAAATAAATTCTGAGTCCAGGACTCCCAGATGGCAATTTTGAAGACTAGTTAAGTCTATTTCTTTTCACTTTACTTCAGAGAAAAAATCAAATCCCTGCTAATAGGGATAACTGCCACCCATCTCCTCTGCTAATCTAGCTGCCACACTGCTACCTGAGTTATCTTTTAAAACATAAGTTGAATTGTATTTCTGACAGACAATGTAAAATCCACTTTCCTCCACACGGCATTCAAGGACGCCCATCTGTGAATCTCAAACTATTTTTCAAATCCCTCTGCCACCACCGCAGCCTCCCTTACATGCTAAACTCAGACCCACCAGGACACTGCCATTCCCTTTAACTGGCCTTCACTTCCACGTGCTGTGCCTTTGCATATGGGGCTTACTCTTCATGAAACGTCCACTCCTCTGACCACTGTTAAAATCCACTTTATCTGTCAAGGTTCAAATCAAATGTTATGACATTCATGAAAAACTTTCTCCTGTCTCTCTAAATAGAATTAATCACTCTCCACTTTGAACCATCACCCCCCACAGCCTTTTATTTCCACTTTGTATGAATCTTATTACACTTTAACTTCTAGTAGAATAATTTATTCACATTTTTGCATCCTTCTTAAAGGGAATGTAAAATCCTGGATTATCACAAAAATATAACTATTCTCCAGTACTTAGTAGTGTTGAAGATACATTGAATGGAATATATTAATAAAACTTTCAAATTCCTAATTTTCAATAAAAGAGCTTTTTTGTCTCTCTGATCTACATCAACATATAAGTGAGCAAGATTCCTTCTAGTAAGCAAAACAAAAACAAACAAACAAAAAAACCTTTCTAAAATCAATATTCGAACATTAGCAGTTTTCTCCTACTCAATTACATTAGAATAACAAACTGAGTAACTTTACACCTACCCATACTTTGCTATAGAAATTGTAGGGCACATAAAATGCCAAGTCGTGAACAAAATTTTTTGTCTCAATACAATGCAAGCATCATAAAAATTATATGCATATGTCTTAAAGGTTTTAACATTTTTGTCAGCTATAGGAAAACCAAGCTCAGAGGCTTTTAGTTTTATTTATTCTCTTCCATATAAAGTAAGTACACATAGCACAATTTTGTGAGCTTTTTAGAGGAACAATTTGTCCTGATCATCAGTTCCCACAAATTGTATGACTGAGCTTTCGTGCAGCAAATCCCTGAAGAAGGAAAAGGTGGCAATAAAAACACTGCCCATCAGTTTATGACAAAAGTCATCCAACAAGATTCTACTTGCACAATAAGCCTTTTACTGTGTCACAATGGCTGCCTTTGTCTCCACAAGTTCATTATCAGGAAATTAGAAAAGTTCTCTTTGAACAAAGATTACATTTCTCCACCACAAGTTTAAATTGTTCTTAGCTGAGACGCTTAGCATCAATGATGGAAATTCTGCCAGCATCCATCTATAAACTGGATACAAATCAAGGCCAGCCTTATTTGGCATGAATTGAGCAGGAAAACTGCCATCTGCCTTGGTTATTTCCAGGGATTACAAGTTCCTCAAATATTAAATATTCATTCCTTAGTATTAAAGTCAGTGATCCCAGTTAAAACTGTGGGAGGGACAGCAAGAGGACCAAAAAGTCCTCAATATAATTTTTTAAATTAATTTTAGAGGGATTATTTCCCAACCTTACAGCTGACAGATTGAGGCCACTCTATGACTGGGGAAAGGCAGTCATGGAAAGTGCGACCGACAGAGGGGCAACGAGACCATAGGCACTTAGAGCCCTGAAGACATACCGAAGACAAACGTTGGTTGCCTCTGCATTTGGGAAGGCCAGCTCTACAAGCTATTTGCCATTATCCTTCTTTTTTCTGTTTTGTTTTGTTGTTTTTTGGGCTTTGATATATGTCCTTAACTCTCAGATTAGAACTTTTATTTTATCCATCTCATATAATGTCATTGTAACTTTCTCAAAAGGAAAAAAAAAAACAAGACTCTGTCATTTCCTTTTAACTATTAGTTTTGTTAAGCAAATACAGTCTGTTAAAATTAATCACCTATTCCTCCAGTGAATATGGGCAACATTATTACTATCCCTGACATCTTTGATTATTGTATTGGTGGGATATTTTCCCAATAATTTTGTTAGTCATACCTCCTTTTTCTTTTGTAATCTATGGTTGGCTTATGGGTGTAGGGTCTAATGAAGCACTGTTTCTCAAAGTATGTGTATTGAAGCACTGATAGTTAACCAAATAAATGTTTGCTCTCAAAATACTAGGGTAATTCAAAAAGTTCATGGAAAAATAAAATGAAAAGATAATACGAATCTTTCCATGAACTTTTTGAAGTACCCTTGTATATCTCTTGGAAGTTGCAATATAAATGCATATGATAACATTCTGGAAAATGTCAGTTAAAACAACAATTTTGCCAAACTAAGTTTCCCAAACTAAACACACTATGCTATTTTAAAATGCAATCAGCTATAGAAACAGTAGGTATCACAGTCATGTAGTGTTTATGTATAATCACTGAAAGAGGCTTTCATGAAAAAGAAAAACTGTCAGCTAAATTCAAACTCCACTATTCTGTTAGTTTCCTGAGTAGAAAACTACTCAGTACTATTACCCACATGTCCCCCATCTAATCTTTTTTTTTCATTCATTCATCAAAAAACTTGATACTTATTTTGTGTCAACCATTGTGCTGAATCCTTGAGATTTAGATGAAAATCCAAAAATTTTTTTTCACCCTTAATGATCTTAACAGTATAGTAAGAGGTGGTAAACATGTATACAATTTCAACAAGTATAATAAGTACTCCAATAAAATATTCTGAGAATTTTGGGGGGGTTTGTTTTGTTTTGTTTTGTTTCTTAAGCAGGAGGGAAACCAGATCTGCCTGTACAAATTAGGAAAAGTCCCACAGGTGATTTTGAGCTGAATCTTAATGGATAAATAGGTTATTGACTGGTAGACAAGCAAAAATTACATGCTTAATAGATATTCACTCAATAGAAAAAATCTGTACTCAAACTGGTATTTTAAATGACATTTAGCTTCATTAGGCAAAGTGAAAAAGAGCAAAAGATAGAAATAAAATATTTTATATCATATTTCTAAGGAATACATAAAGTTTTCATAATCTTAGGAATAATCTCAGACCCGAGAAGCAAAAGAAAAAATAATAAATATTTTAATAATATTCCTGTTTGGTAAATAATATCTCTGTTAATTTTTCATGCAGATATCAAGAGCAAATGTCACCTGATGGGTTATTTTCTTGTGTAAACCAGGTA